ACTTCTCCCTCACTGATCGAATGATCTGTGCTGGCTTCATGGAGGGGATGGTAGACTCATGCCAGGTAAGTGTATGGGATTTCTCTGCTCTGTAGATTGTTCTAGAAAGCTGAGCTAACTTTGCCTTCAGCAGATCCTTGTGAAATATTTACTGAGCTGCTGTGATCCATCTGTGTAATTCACATGTACTTGAGCACAAAAAACCCCCGCCCACTACTTTGGAAATCCAGAAAAGTAAATAAAGCTCCACCAAGTTGAGAATGACTTAAACCAACATCCCACCACTCTGGCCAGACAAATCCTGGATGACACAGGTCTCCTCCTGTGGCAGTGAGTCAGTGGCAGTCGGTGGCAGCTGTGGAAACGTGCTGACAGAAGCCAGGTTGAGCCACTGACCCTAACTTCAACTTCTCCATACTCATGCCCTGCATACACACTGCATGACAGCAGACAGGCCCACAAGGCTGGAGAAAGAAGAATTGGGGGTAGTTAAGTTCTTCTGGTGTATCTGAGGGGCAGACCTGATTGGACTGAGCATCCATTGCCTTGCTTCTTTTGCAGGGAGATTCAGGTGGGCCCTTGGCCTGTGAGGTGACCCCAGGAGTGTTTTACCTTGCTGGCATCGTAAGCTGGGGATTTGGTTGTGCCCAGGCTATGAGACCTGGTGTGTACTCCAGAATTACCAAACTCACAGACTGGATCCTGGACACCATCTCCCAGTTGTCCAGTGGTGGCACAAGCATCCCTTCCAGTTCAGCCATCCCTAGAACTTCTACCACAGCCATTTTTATCCAGCCCAGCACAATGGCTGCAGGTCCAGCCAGCAGAACCACCCTGGGGACAAATATAAGTACAACCATGAGTGAAACCTCCACAGCTCTGAGAACGACTGAGACTGCCAAGCCTACCCAAACCCCAGGTAAAACTGATAACTGATGGCATTGACATGTTGGCAGGAGGCCTCCAGCATAGAGGGTACTGAGCAGGTCCTGGGTTATTGCCTTCCAGTGGTGCCTTGTACCAGCCTCACTTTCAAGTGTTCCAGCAAGGTGTGTATTGGAAAAGAAAATCCTGAATGTGATGGTGTTGTGGACTGCAGCAACGGCTTTGATGAGCACAACTGTGGTGAGTTCTCCTCTGTAGCCCGTGGCTGCTGCTAGCTGTGCTCTACATGACCTGGACTTCTCCACTGCGGTACTCACCATATTCACACCTGCTGTCTTGGGCCCATACACTGGGGGCCTAGCCCACTGTGGTGCAGATTGTGCTTGCTCTGCCAGAGCCTAAAACAAGATAAAGCTGGATGAGCTGGGTCCAAATTTACTGACAGAAAGTGCAGCCTCTTCAATTCTGCTACAGACATTAGAACCCATTTCCCAGCACACAGGCCTTTTGGCCAGTCAGTCTGGTAGCACAAGATGACAAGACAGGCCGGCACAACATGGCAGCCCAGAAAGTGTCTTGGCATCCCTGGGACTGCACTTCGGGCTGCACATTCCTTGCTGTTTGATAGCTGAACCAGCCCATCCAAACACTTGCTCCTCACTTACCACATCCATGGAAGGTGTGATCTGTGATAACAAGTCTACAAAATATACCCTGTCTGTCAAGACTTGCCTCAGCTGGCTGAACTGAATTCATCACATCCTACTGTCCTGTAGGTGCTCCCCCAGAAGGCTGTCCCACAGCAAAAGTTATAGAAGGCAGGAAGTCATTCCTTTCATTTATGGTTATTTAAAACCATGGTGCTTCCTCCTGTGTTCCAGACTGTGGCTCAACAACGGCTCTGGCCTTTAGCAAGATCGTGGGTGGCAGCAGTGCGGCTCGAGGAGAATGGCCCTGGCAAGTCAGTCTCTGGCTTCGGCGGAAGGAGCACAAGTGTGGGGCTGTCCTTATTGCTGACCGGTGGCTGCTGTCTGCAGCTCACTGCTTTGACATGTAAGTCTGACATAAGCTAGTTAAGTCAGCTGACTCTTGCCTCAGTCCCATCAGCCAACCTGCTCTTCCCCTCCCTCGTGGTCCAGCACCTGGCTGGCATGCTGTACCCCACAGGAAGCACACACCCCCTATCAGAGAAATGTCCCTAGAGGTAAGTGTGAAAAGGAATGGGTGGAACAAAGCTCAAATACACCCACTGGTTCTGGAGACAGGGGTCCTGACCTCCCAAGGTGTGGCCAGCCCCACAAATGGAGGGATGGCCCTCCTTGTGAGGCTATGCTCCTAACAGCCAGGTTTGCTGTCTTTCTGCAGTTACAGTGACCCCAAAATGTGGGTGGCCTATCTAGGAACACCTTTCCTGAGTGGCATCGATGGCAAAATGGAGAAAATATTTCGTATCTACAAACACCCTTTTTACAACGTCTACAGCCTAGACTATGATGTGGCACTACTGGAACTGAGCACACCTGTCAGGTTCACCAGCACCATCAGACCTATATGCCTCCCAGACAATTCTCACATCTTCCATGAAGGGGCCAGATGCTTCATCACAGGCTGGGGCTCCACAAAGGAAGGAGGTACTGGCTAAAGAGGGCCCTTCCATAACCATGATGGCCAAGTTCAGTGCTTGGCCACCTACACTGCAAGCCCAAACATCTAAGTTCCCACACCACTACCCCAAGCACTCCCATCCTAGGCCATAGGCTGCAGAGGATACCAAGCTGGGCAAGGCCAGGTGTCACCATCATCTCCTCCCAGCTACCATGCACACTACTCCTCCATTTTATCACACCTCTTCCCTCTTGAAGCTTTCCCAAGCTTTCTACATGCCAGCCATTGTGCTCTCCACCCCCACAGCAGCTGCTCCAGCTGTGCTCCTGCTGTACAAGGACCACCCCAATACCATTTGTGTCTGGTCAGCCAAGCTGCCTGACAAACGATACACCCAAGGGACCTTCTGGAGTTTGCTCTGCTGAACCAGGTGACTCACCTTTCCAGAGCAGGCCTCTCCCTCTGGCAAACAAGTGAGGCTGCAGAGACCCCATTTCACATGCTGCTGTTTCTCATGTGCTCTTCACCCAGCTAACAGCAATCCTTGTCTCTCCTCAGGCCTCATGTCAAAGCATCTGCAAAAAGCAGCAGTGAACATGATCGGAGACCAGGCCTGCAAAAAGTTCTACCCTGTCCAGATCAGCAGCAGGATGCTGTGTGCTGGTTTCCCACAGGGCACCGTCGACAGCTGCTCAGTGAGTGCAAGAGCAGTAAATGCTGTGACTGGGACAGAGCAATCTCATGCCAAGTCCCTAGACTATATTCTCTCAGGAGGGCCCTGCCCTGCCCCCCCCAGCTCAGATGTCTGTCCATTCATCAACTGGCTGCTGCTTTTATCCACATCCATCCTGCATACTCCTCATGCTGCTTGCCCCACCAACTTGTGACAGGTCAGGGAAATACACAGAGAGGTAATGCTAAGCAAAAGACCACGTGGAGCTTGTTCCATGACCCTACTGTACCCCTAAACACACTCTTCTATGTTCCAGAACCCCAGCTTGTTCATGCAGGTACATCACTGAGCAGTCCTCCAGCTTGGAATGGGGCTCCTGGGGAAGTGGGGACCAGGACAGCAAATGCTCATGCCCCAGAGAGAAAGAATATTTCATGGCTGGGGGAACTGTACTGCTCATGGCTTGATACTGGATCTTTTTCCTCTCTCTGCAGGGTGATGCAGGTGGCCCTTTGGCATGTAAGGAACCTTCAGGGAAGTGGTTTCTAGCAGGAATCACAAGCTGGGGCTATGGCTGTGCCAGGCCATACTTCCCTGGTGTCTACACCAAAGTCACAGCTGTCCAAGGCTGGATTGTACAGAACCTCAAGCTCTGAAACTGCATTTCACCACTCAGGGAAGGCAATGAATGAGAGGAATAACTGCCAGAGGATGCACTAACCTCTCAGCTACTGTACATTTTTCTGATGCTGCAAAGGGGTGAAGACAGCCTTGCAGGTATTGAGCAAATGCCAGTGTTGTGTGACCTGCTGGTTGTTATCAAGGCATTTGATAACTGCTTTGCATAGAAAGGTACAAATTCTAAACCTTTTCTATAAATAAATGAAGCCTGTCCCATCTTAAGACCTGGCCAAATATACTGCACATTAAGACATGACCTTCCTAGTTGGATGGGTGCCGGAAAGATCTGCCAAAGATTCATGGAGTTTGGCTGAGCCCTGCCTATGAGCTGTCATCCCATGGCCAAGCCAACAGACTTGTGACCTTTGTCCCAGCCCAAAGTTATGCCCTTGCAGAAGCTTCAGACCTCACTGACTTGATGGAGCCATTGTGCTGTGCAGTGGCTTTTAGGAAGGGTGTGATGCTGTTTCCAATTAGTGTGTGGTACTACAGAGCTCAGTGATGACCTCCCGGCTCACCAATTGATCCTAAGAGAATGCAGGACTAGAACACCTAGGAGTTCAGACTGCACAGGCCCTGACCTGTACCAGAGTATAAGGAGGGGCTTTTCACCCCCCCACCCTCCTTTAGCATTAGGTAACTGGTGATTCAACTGGGAAAGATTAAGGCATGGCCACACACCACTGTCTGGCTAAGCTAGGTGGGAAAAATTTTAAGTGCTAAGATAGTCCTACCAGCCAGGATAAGACACATAGACAACTTTGTTCACAAGCAAAGAACTGCAGCAGAGCTCATGTGCTGAGTCTTGGGCAGAGCAGACTTACGCATGCCTCCATTGATTCAGCTACCAAAACTGAACAGCTGCTTGTACCCCAAACCCCCTCCTCATTTTTGGTGCTTTAAGTTCTGCATCTGGGCATAACGAGAGGTTTCCTCCATCCCAACCCAGCTGGCAGCAAGATCGACAACTTTCTGAGACAGAGCACCATCTAGGTGGGAGACCTGGCTTGCAGGCACGGCTCAGCTCCAGATGGGTCCAGATTCATGACTAGAACACCTGTGGGATACTCCCATGAATGAAATGGGACTCCTGCACAGCCAGTACCACAGAATGCATACAACCATAAAGAAAAGTAAAAAGCCCCCTAAGCAAACATGTCTGAAAGCACTTTATTTTCAAGTAGTCATTCTTACAGTCTAGAAAAGAAACTCCAGTTTCAGTAAGTCCAAATTCCCAAGTATCTCCTCATAGTTTACCTGCTGTGAGAACACTTTAGGTTCCACCACATCCCAGTGAATGTCCTAGGAGGTGTGGAGATGTCACTCTTCCAGTCTCTCTCTGTGTCCAGCAAACCATACAATCTTTCATAAAATACAGAAGTGCTTCAAAAGACAGGATTAAAAAAAAAAAACAACATGGGCACTGCTGATCTCCAACACTCTCCTCTTGCAACTGTTGTATCCACTGCTGACCACACAGCATGAACCCACCTTTTTAGGAGCAGTGTGGAAGCACAAAAACAGAGTTGTGCCCCAAAGCAGACCAACATTCCCTTTTGCAGACATGCTCCTCCCTCAAAAAAATTATGCTTAGGATATAGGCTCAAAGATGGAACACCTGTGCCAGAGCCAAACCAGAAACTACAGAATATTACAGCCACACAACACACTTTATTCCACAAAGAAAAGAATCTAAGTACTTCCCAACCCTGCTTCCCTAGCTGTGCTCATACAACTATTTGCGAGGCTGTCCTGCTCCCCAACACTGTGCTTGAGCCGAGTCAAAGCCTAGGGAGCCCAAAGACAGCCCCACAAAGCACTATACAGATATAAGAGACGAAACAGCCGAAGTGGCATGTGGACAATCTTCTGGCAGTTTTTCCTCTAAAGAAAAGGGACTGAGTAACGACCTTATGGATGGGTCCATGCTGGAACCCCAAGCAAGGGTATTGTGTTGCTGACTTGGCTTGGCCCCTGTTTTCCACAGAAGGCTCCTTGCCTGTCACAGCCCTTTCAGCAGGGATTTAGAAATTGATATAATGCCTTAGGCCAATCTGGACACTTGGGAAGGACAAGAAGTAAAGCAAGCAGCTCATGGGAAAAAAAAAATCACTCTCTCCTGGTGCTGGTGCTAATAAAAGCCAATGGATGCAAAAGGTTCAGCGAGGTTTTATTGCTCTGCCATGGCAGGGGCTGGGAAGGCAGCAGGATTCACCCCTGACCACCTGGACTGGCCGCTGTCCCTTCCCCACATGGTCCCTCTCGGCCCGGAGGCCGGCAGGCGTCACATGTTGGCTCTCTCCCGCTGCAGCCGAGAATTGTAGGCTCGCGAAACTGTGTTCCAGGAGTCCATGTACCGGTCCATGCACATGGCGATGCACTTCTGCGGGACACAGAGCCTCAGCGGCAGCCCCGAGCTAAGGGGCCGCGGGTGCCCCGTTCTCCCGCCCGTCCTCACCTGCTCGGAGTTGTCCAGGGCGCCGCCGGGCTTCCCAATGCACTTCCGAAAGCACTTGTCCGTCATCCGCTGCGGAGAGAGCCCGTGAGTGGCAGCGCGGCCCGGCGGCTCCGGCTGCAGCCGCCGCCCCTGCTGCAGGGGAGCCGAGCGGCCTGGCCGTGTCCCGCGACCCGCACCGGCACCGAGCAAGCCCCCGCCCGGCCCCGCCGCGCCTCCTGACCTGCAAGAGCTCCTGTGCGTTGGCCACGGCGATCTGCACCTTCACCTGCTCCATGATGAGCCCCGGGTCCAGCTTCCCCCCGCCGCCTCCTCCGGAGCCGAAGTCGGAGCCGAAGCCGCTCTCCATGCCCAGAGTCACCGCGGCCGAGGCCCCTGCGCTGCCGGAGGGAGAAATGGCGGCGCCCGGACTGCGGTTCCCGGCGGGCCCCGCGCCTCCTCCGCCTCCGCGCCGGGCGGGACGGCGCGCTCCGCCCGCCTCAGCGGGGCCGCTCCGCCACTCGCGGCCCCGGTCCCCGTGCGCTGCTGTCACCGTCGGCCGCTGAGGGGGCGGCCCGAGCGAGCTCCTAAGGGACTCCCCGGGGCCGAGCACGGCCCGGGTCAGACAGCAGGGTTCGAGTACAAGGGTTCAGCGCAGCCCACGAAGTGAGGGCAACGGGAAGGGGCTTTCAACCGGCATCACCAGAGACACAAACGCTGCACAGCTGCACCCCGCGGTGAAACACCAGCTCTGAGATCCCCGCAGAGAGAAACTCCCCTTTGGGTTCTCTCTGCAATTCATCCTTCTGTTCTTCGAGGCTTTCCTCTGCCTTACGTGACTCGGGTGAGAGGCCCATGCCCTTAAAGTCAGCTTCATTACACTTCCCTCCATTAAGTAAAAATACTGTGGGACGAAGTGGAAGCAAATGGGAGAGGACCACGCTACGGAGCTCTTTTTTCATGGGTGAGATGTGATGTGCAGGTAGGAGATGGCATGAGAGGAGGGCATTGAGTACCACAGCAGAGCTGAAGCCAAAACTGTGCTCATCTCCAGTAGGCCGAGCCCACACTCAGTTTGCAATACTCCGAGTATTTCAAACCATACCATTCTGTCTTTGGATCTGCCCACTTCAAACAGAAGGCATTCCTACCACGCTGCAAGAAACATAATCAGCTAGTGCTAACGATGGGGCAGACACCTAAGGCACAAATTTTAAATGAATTTAAAAAGCAATTTTTAAATGCATTTACCAGTCTGGCTCAGCTTCCAGCCCACTTTCGAGTCTGTACTCAAAAGTGGGCTGGAAGCTGAGAGCCAGGTTGGCAAATGCATCAGCTCACGGCAATGCTTCTATCCATCCCTAAGAATCCATCCCTGCCAGCGATCGGTTTCTGCTCTCATTCTTATTTAGTGTCAAGGTTAAATAAAAAATCCCTTCAGTGCAGCGGTGATGAGAAAGAAGGGAAGGTTAATCTGCTCCAGCTGCAGGTATTCTTTCCCCTGCTTTTGTTGGTACTGATCACGGAGGACAGCAGGTTCCACCAGCACTCCGTCAGGTTTAAGGAAAGTGTTCCTTGATACAGCCCAGGATCCCTGCTGGGACACAATTCAGCTGACCAATGTTGGGAGCACAGACAGCAGCTCTTTGTGTCCCCTCTCCACACTTAGAGGCCTCCTGGATGAATCATCTCAAATACCTCACATTACTTGTGTGCTGGGCAATAGACAGAAGGAAACCAATAAAATGCAAAACATTTATTCGAGTGTGTTGTACAAAAAGTTTCCAGTCATAAAATGTATATTACAAATCATTGAAAAAGACAAGACATTTGGCATGCATATTCTAAAAAGAAAAAAACCAAACCACTTTGAAATGGTAAAGTCTAGGTCATGATGTAGTTTTTCTAAGTTTCAAGTGAACAATTTCATTGTTTTGTCTTTGTGTTTCTTTTTCATAATTCCCCATTTAAAAAACTTGAACCTTCCAAAAACTCATCTGCAGCAGCTGACTGGAGGTGGTTACTATAGTGCCCTCAAGCCAGACCTGTCTAAATCAAAATTTTGTTTAAAAAATTTTAAAAATAAAAATTCAAGTCACAAGGCATCACTGCTATGAAAATAAGATATCAACTGTATTTTGTGCCCAAATGGAAAGCATTTTGGCTTAAACTTGCTCAAAATAGATTATTGCTTGTAATTTTAGTGTAATGATCTGGGTAGCTGAATATATAGTAACTGCCTTACCAAGATGGACTTGTCACTTCAGTAACAGCTAACTAGAAAATCTGGAAGTTCAATAAACAACATCTTTTCTGGAACTCCAAGTCAATTCACTACCTGTGCTATTCTGAATGGAATCATCAGAATCATGATTCTTTGAATCTTTTTCACTCTAGACCTTAGCATTTCAAGAAAAGAATTATGTTTACAAATAATAATTGCATGTAAATATGGTCTTGTATTAAAAAAAAAACAAAACAACAAACACCTTTAAATAATTTTAAACTGGTTTAAAGCTAAGCATATTGAAGGGCAAATAAAAATTCTGTTTCCCAGGCCTATATAATGAGAAAACAATCTCTCCAATATAATTTGTCCTGACATTCAGCTAAAACAGTGCTTTAAAAAATGCAATCACTATCTCACCTTCCGCTCACTGGTTCACAAGGCTTTGCTTGCACAGTTTGGACCCAACAGTGTCAATAAAATGCAGGATCAAATATGGATGTGCCTTTGTTTAGAGATAAGACTTTCAAAAGAAGATACAGAAAGAAGAGCTAGAATGGTTTAACAGTGAATACATGACAGAAGTGGCTACAAGAAATCTAGAACATACAGCATGCATGTTTTCCTGCAGCATCAAAACCTTTCTGATGTGCATAAAGGTAAGAGATTCTCCAAGGTCCTGGGGTGTAGAGAGGATTTTTACAGGTCTCTTCTAACCTGCAACCTCTGTTAAGGTTGCAGTTAAAGGGCCTTTATACAGGATGAGCATAAAAAAGAAAAAGGGTGTATAAAACCCATTAAGATCCCTGAACTGAACATGAAGTGTCCCATTGCTCAAGGACAGACACCACACAGTGATCTCCTTGTCTAAAATTCCCACACTACTGCCAGCTTGCACACATACTCAGCTGGCTTTTACATCACAGGAATACCATCTAATGGTAACACAGAGCTGAGGATAAGTAGGCAACATCTCAGTGCAAATGATGGGCTCTGTTAGAGCCAAGCTGGAGCCCCATGTAGGCATAAAGAGACCTGCTGTGAAACAGAGCTGTGAAGCAACAAATGGAACAGGAAATACACCTGTGGGGCAGCAAAGGAACCACGGGAAATATGGATGTGCAGGAACAAGGGAATCCCAGCCACTCCACTCCTTGAAGTATGTCACTGCAATGCAACAGTTAAAGGAACACATGCAGAAGCAAGGGAGAAAAAAATGGCATGAAATGCCAGGGACTCTGAGAAGGTACTCCAGAAGGTATCACATTCCTGACAGGTCTGCAGATGGATTGGACTTGTTCTGAGACAAGCGTTTTCATGTGGCATGAGCTTAGGAGGAAGCAGGATGTGCTTGTTGTATTTTATATGATATTCTATTATGAGCTACACAACAGGAAATAGTAAATAGGAAAACCTATTTACTATTTCATTCAGAATAAGGTTATATTTCTGGATTAAGAACATCCATATGGATAGTTATGCTCAAGTAACTACTCTGATAAAAGCTTAATTTCCCTTATCAGTGATATCTTAAAATATTTTTTCTCCAGACAAGTCAAATCTATTTTTCCCTCAAGCTTTATGCCAGGTACCAGCACTGAAGTAGAACTGCTGTCCACGCTTCTAATTTCGTCAAGACTGGTTCATATACAGGATCAAAGAGAAAAAGGGGACAAAGAGATGCTGGATTTTATTTGAACAAAAAAAAAATTAAATATCCTGAAAATGGAAAAAAAATGTTGGAAAGATAGGAAAAAAAAAAAAAGAAAGAATGCTTTTTGGGTTGGTAAAGCCACAAAACTGCCTCCAGTCTGTCTGGAACAGCGCCATTAGACTGAAGCTCAGTATCAAAAGCAAGAGGCCGGGATGGTGTCTGGAGAAGGCAACACAAAAACCAAAGTACATGGTATACAGTAGTTCTTCTGTGGCTTGTAATTTACAGCCAGAAGTTATTTATCATATTTGTAGTAGCCTATTAAAAAGCACTGTGGTAACAGAATCATCCACATTCAGACTTGGCTTTTCCCACAGTGTCAATCACAGGTTTATTTGACCTGTATATACCTAAGCATGGTCCCAAAGAATCAAATAAACTGCTTCCAAAGTTAAATGTCAGAGTTCCAATTCTAAGGACATATTCAGCAGACTGTTACTCAAGGGCACAGTGCTCATTACAAGAAATCTGCAAGCACCAGTTCTTAAGGCTACAAGAAGACATATTCCTCATACAGTAGCTGTTAGGAAAACTATGGCTCAGGTAGCAAGAGGTTTTTCTTCATTTGAGCTGCCTTTCTGAGGCCATTCTTTACAGAAAACAAACAAACCAAAAACCACAGAAAAAAAATGTAAATTAACTACACATTCATTACTTTAGTATTTAAGATCACAAAATAATCTTAAATTTACAGGACAATCTTAAAGGAATAAGCAGTCTGAAAACTGGCCCATGTGAAAAAAAAATAGATCTTTAGGGAAAAAGCAAAAAAGGCCTCAAACACTATGTCAGTATCTTACAGAAGCTGTGGGTCAGAAAAGGGAAATAGTGTCCAGTGGTTGGAAGGTGTGTTGCAAAAATAACTTTACACTGATTGCATTCATTTGCATAACAATGAATTTAGAAAAGGTAATTGTAACAGTATGTCTGAGAAACATAATTTCACTAGATACATCTTACAGAGAGAGAAACATGATTTACTACATATTTAACCTTCTACACGAGCAGAGTGGGAAAATTACATTAGAAAGATGGCCAAGTACATAAATTCAGTTATCTCATCAGCCCAAACAGCCAAATCTTTATCCTGTTTTTTTGTAATAGGTCTTCTAATAATGGATTAAAACATAATTCTAAATGTCTATTAGCTTAACTTCAGCAACCCAGTTATCCCACTCAAGGAGAGAAAAGTAGCATCTTTATTTTTAAATGACAAAATAAATCCTGAAGCTTAAAGCCCCTTTTGTTCCCACCCTGCTTGCATAACAAAGCCATCAATCCGAGCCACAAAACCGACTTTCTAGGTTATATCTGTCAGTCATGATACTGTTCAGAGAACATAATGTCCAAAAGCCACCGAAAACATCCAAACCTTGTCACTTGTCTGATGAGTTTTAACATTTTGAATGACATGATCAGAGTTCAAGAGTGCAGGTAACAACAGGATTCTGTGCTGAAATCAAATGGTGTCCAAATTTTGTATCCAAACTACTAAGTTTGTTTTTCAACTAGTAGATGAAATAACATCTGCATTCTTTGGAGCAGTCAAGTATTTTTCCTCATGCTTAAAGATGAACACTAACTCTTATGGGACTCAGTTATCTCCAGAGAAATGCAGCGGCTGAAACCTTTAGCTAAATGGACACTATCAGATAAAAAATGCATCCTCTTAAAATAAAAATCACCTGCTACCCATACAACGCATTTTTTATAAAAAACATTATTCTCCCTTCACTCCTTATTAGACTTTGCCTTGAGCACTTGAACACTGCGTAGCTTGTATCCTTAACAGAGGCAGTTCCTTTGAACTGTTTAAAAGTCATTCAACTATTTCTGCTCTATTTTGCAAATATTGCTCCCTGGGATACCTGACAATGCTCTTTTGAACCTAACAGAAGTATGAACAAGCTATTTCTAGCTCTGATTAAAAAGGTCAACATTTATACTGAATAACCTTTAAAATCCCCAATATTTATAACTGCCAAAAGTATAAATACGTTTTACTTCTAAAATCTTAATCAAATATTTTTAAAGCTGAGTATGTCAAAAGCATTAAATTATAAATACTGAATATCACAATTTGTGTCCATGATTTAACTTGTGACAATGGCAAAATCCTCTAAAAATCAAACAGTTTGACTTTTGGGTTTGACACATCCAACTTGGGATGGTGTGTATATTCAGGAAGCAAAACCCACCGTTCAACTTCTGAAATTATGACATGGAGCTCAGGTGTGACAGACCCAGATGTTTTACCACTAGGCTGTCAAACCTTGGAGAAAGACACAATGGCCAGGTCCTGAGTCAAAAATGCCAAAAATGAAGCTTCCCCCTAACATTGCAATTGTAGAGCAGCACTTTGAATGAATCTATGGTCTAATTTTCCTAAGATGGGAATTGCTGAGAATACCAGGCAAAATACTAGCTTTTCTACAACTGTTGAGGAAACACTCTGTGAATCTCTCCCAGGGCCCTGTACATAAACACACTTCATTAAACCTTTTTTCTGGGGGTATTATACTGGTTATATATGTAATTATAGATTTACCGTACACTCAAGGAGTCTCATCTTGGCTAAAAAATCTCTTTCCTGCTTTAGGTTTCTATGTAAGACTTTAAATTCTGTATGGGGAAAAATATTGTATTCCAATAGAGTGTTTCAACAAAGAGGGAAAAATAAAGAAATCTATTAAAAATCCTGGCAGTTTTGTTCAGTAAAGTTTTTTTGAATTTTTTTATAAAAATGTACCAAGGAGTAAACGTCAAAGAAATCAGGTGATGCATATAAAAATAGTTTTCAGTGGCTCTGGAAGGAAAAAATAGCAAAAATAAAAGGAAATAAATGAAGGGGGAAAAGCGTAAATAATAGTTTCTTTCTTCTTTCTTCACATCACTGAGCATCCTCTAGAGGTTGTTCTGGGATCACCCTAAAATAAGATAGACAGAGTTGAATTCAGTTCTTACCAGCTATTCAGATTGCAAGCCTAGACTCTGCTTATCATCTCATTTGCCAAAAGCACTTCTTTAGTCATTTAGTTACATTAAGGGAACATCACTACATAAGAGGAAGTAGGAGTACATGCCCCAGTCTGCTGACAGGACTGACATACTGCTCCTCTGATTGGGGTTTTCTGCAACAGGTTGGTTGGTTAGTCTCCATATTTCCAGCAGTGATACAGATGACAAATGAAAATTGTGATGCCATTAGCTTGAGACCAGCAAGTTCCTGTATTTCAAATGCTGATTTTGTTTGAGAGTGATCTCTGCTGTATAGCTGCTTTTTTGGGTAAGAAAAATCAGTTGTTTTATACTACAAATACAAAGCTTAATCTTTGGGACCAAAAAAGCTTTGAGAACTCACCTGCAAACCTGCACAGAATGGTTATTTGTGAAAAGACCAACTAACGGCCATTGATCAGAAGAACAAATCCCTTAGGTTTCAAATTTAAAATATTTCTGGTATCACCTATATATCCTTCTCCTTTTTTTGCTCTGTCAACTCCTGGTCACTTATTTCACATTATTAAGTGAAAGGTTGTCAAAACATACAGATGGCATTATTAAGAAAAAAACAAGTTTATTTTAGGAGTAGAAGCTATATACTGTCACAAAATAAACCAATAAGCTGAAGCTTGCAGCAAGAGAAGCACCCCCATTCCTGGTTTTCAGTGATTATCTGGTAATATCCTGCTTCCAGCAAGAATGCCCCAGCTCTGCTGCACAGACCAGCAGATACTGGAAGGAACACTGCCTGCTAATGCTGAAACTGTGTGATCTGAAGCACAGATACCCTGAGCTGGCATCAGCCACTGCCTGAGCTGTATGAGGATGGATCCCAGCAGTAATTCCTGACAGCACCGCTCACATTGTCCTCTCTTGGTGCACTGCAATGTTGCAAGCAACCATTGGAAGAAAGGACAAGGAAGCTCAGAGTTGGCAGAATTTGAAGGGGGATCCCCCCCAGTAAATCTTATGCCTGATTGATCCAACTAATGAGGCATAAGTTAAACATCTGGTCTGCATCTGATTACCTGTTGGTTGAAAAGGTCTTCCTCTCCATATTCAGCTTCATCTTCTTCCTCTTCATTCTCTCGCACAACTACTGATTTAGTAACGCTTCTCACTGCAACTTCCTATACAAAATGACAGATAAGGAGATGGCCAGAAGTCTTTATCTATCTGTTAAGTTTTTGCTATATCATCAATATAATATCCTTACTAAATTTTGGAGAGTTTAAAGCAACTTGGCCTAAATTTAATCACTAGCTATGCAAGCAAACACCCAGCAATATCCTGCAAACCACAACATCATTCTTATTTCTGTGCACTAAAAAGCACGGTAATGTAATTCAGCCACTTGATTTCTTTTCATTACCCTGGGATTTAAGAGGAAGCAGACATGTTTCAGGTGATCATAGTCTATTTTACACAAGGTCACAGCAGACACAGGTAGGAGCTGTCTGAGATACAGTGTAATGTGAGAAACCAAACTTTCTCAGTATGATTACACAACATAAAGAATATTCCCAGTTTCTAAAAATATTCAATGTTAATTGCATATGTTGGTTTTCAGCATAGTTTTACAAGCCAGGCACTAAAGAAAATTCTAAAACCCCAGGAAGCTTCCTTTATTACTAAATTATTTTTAACACTTCTAAACAGTAAGAAATTCTTCTGCCTACTTGCACCATGGAAATCACAGATGAAAATCTCTAATTGTGGAAAAAGTTGCCCTTAACATACTCTCCTAAGCAGGGATACTAAAGGCAACCATAGTGAAAACAGACATGGATTTGAAATTTTTTCAGATACTAGTTTGACCACACAGTTTGAATATGGAGAGTATTAGCTTTCTATTTGTACAAATTACCGTCCTCCTACCTCATCCTGCCCACAAAGTTCTTCCAGAAAACTGCCAGCAAGAAAGGCAACACAAAAACTGATATGACTATGGTCTGTTTCCTTTTCCTATTGCTATCAGATTGCTGGGATAATGGTACAGTTATGAGTAACAGCCAAGGCACGATTCTCCCTTGCAAAACATCTGCAGAGATGGTTTTAAAAAAAATAACTGTGGGCAGATGTAGAACAATGCAGAATGCTCAGGAGTCTCTACCAAATGAGAACTTATGATATGCTTCTAATATGGAAAGGACAATTATCTTCCTACATTAATATTTACACTGCACCTCAGAACATCATAGGGACTATGTAATGGAACTGGAATTGCCAGAAATGCTTCTTTTCTTTGTCTCTTCTGAAATTACATACTCAAATTCCAAACAAATTCTCTACCAGCAAGGTATTCTTCTAAAGTGGGAAAAAAGTGTCTGTGGGCATAATCATAATGATCACAGTTTTCAAAAATATCCCAAATATGTCAGAAATATGTACATAAATAATATGTAATTATTTCAGTGTTATAAACTGTCATATTAGAAAACAACAGCGGAGATCTTACAATCAGGATTTTGTCATTGTGTCATGTCACCCCACCCTCAAATTAGGAGTTTGGGAGATAACCCAACCCATGGACACAGCCTACCTCTCCTTCAGAGTTGACGAGGTAAGTGCAGATATTTCCACCAGTACCCCAGCTGCCTTGATTCTTCCACACGAGAACAGAAGGGGGGCTATGAGATACACCCGCATCTGCACCCCAGATCTAGAGAGAATGACAATCTGTAATTAGCTGGTTATCCATATTTTTCTTTTAAATATACATATCCCCCTAATTCTCCTACTTCTCTCTACATACTAGGTTTCTTTTCTGAATTCCAATGGCAGTTTTACCCTACTTTTAACTACACTATTACTTGCAGTAAGGCATTAAAAAAATCTAATATTGCAGTCATGAATTATTTTCTGAACAAATTTCTCCTACCACTGTCTCAATAACCATACTGTATGGAGCCAAGGCAAAAAGCAGCATGTAGTGCATCAACTTAAATCTTTTATATGTATCTAAACAATTGATACTTAAGTAGAAATAGCTGCAAGTGTTTAAAAGATACATTTGTTTCATCCTAAAAGAACATCTGTTGCAGACTGAAAATAAAATGCAAAATTATTGAAAAGCAGCTGTTCTACAACATTAACTACAGTTAATGCTGAGAATGTCCAGTCTTAACTACAGTCTGAATGAATGCTCTGAACTGTTCCCAATTCTTTAAGAGGTTGAGCAGGATTAGGGTGCTAAACCTGGGCAAAGGTGTTTGGAAACAAACACTTCTTGACTAATCCCCCAAAACACCTTTTTCTTCAACTTTCTATGTGCCCAAAAAAATGGTTTTAAATACTGAAGTACTAATATAGAAATTAATTTTTTGTTTTGCATTTTTATAACTAAAATCCTCCTCCTCTAGAGTGAGACCCATGAAACCAAATCAGGCTCTACCAGACTTCAAGATTTCCAATTGCCACAGCATCAACAGAAGAATATGTTTTTGACATACTGTAAATACAACTTACTGTAACAGTCTGCCCAGCTCTGAGGACATACTTAGGAGTAAATTTGTAAGCAATTTCGTCTCCATCTCCAATTTGTCTTTTCAGTCTCCAGTTACCCAAAGACTGATCCTAATGGATAGAGTCAGAAAGTTATTCAGAGCGAACCAAATAGAACAAGCAGGCATCAGAATCTACATCTTTGTTATTAAAATAATGGGGAGATAAATTCATTTATATGGTTGTTAGACATTTGCATTCTACCTTGAAAGTATTTGCCTATATCCAGTCAGAGTCTAAAGTGCAAATTCCATAGGGTCATTCACCAAAATTTTAAAAGATAACTATTTCACACAATGAAGTTCTGCTAGACAGCAGTCTGTTTCTGTGAGCAATGTCCCAGCACACATTTACACATTTGGGACAAATTGTATTCTCTTCCTGCAGCATGTTAGCCCACCATTATGTTCAACTTTTCAAAGCCCCCATTAGTTCCTGCAGGATGCTGCACCTTGAGATGCTGTTCCCGCTCTCCACATGGCCGCACCTACTCATGCTGCAAAGTGCTGTGTATCATCTCAATTTAGCTCCTGTTTTCTACGAGTTCTGCTGATGCTCACCTTCTCTGAGTTGTTCTTAAGCTGAACATACTTGCCCTCCAGGTCTATCTCTTCTATGCTGATACTTCCTGTAGCTGAAGCTTGCTGGGACATTTGAAAGCTACTGCTACTGCTGCTGCCACTGATACTTCCAGTGCCGATCCCACTGGTTCCACTGCCGGAAAGCTCCTCTGCTTCAATACGTTTTCTCTTGCCTCGGGAAGAGCGAACAAGTGAAGTGCTGCTGCTGCTGCTGCTGGAGGTAGCCCGAGAGACTGTGACACGGGAGGAGGGACTTGGAGAGAGCTTCAACCTTAACACAACCAAGAAAGCATTTTAATTAACTCACCCAGAGAACAACAAAGCTACAATATCCTCAAGTAAGCAGACTTTAATGTGCTCCAAAGCTGACAGAATCCTCACTCTGTATGTCAAAAAGACTGCATACATGAGGAGTCACACCCATCCCTGAGGAATGTTCTGGCAGTATGACCATGTGGCATGGAGAGCAGTGCTACTGAAAGCAACACAGATCCCTTGACCCCTCTCTCCACTACAGCTACTACTGAACACACTATCCTTGGGCCCCACGATTTAAAACCATAGAAGTACAAGCATTTAAGTAAGAAGATGATGTGAAGACCAAGCACAGAAGGATATATTTCACTGTAATCCAAGACCATTACAAAAACCCAAAATAAGGACAGTGTTCAGTTGAGAACAAGTGTTCCATGCAACAACATTGTGATGTGAAGCCAATATAATTTCAGTGAAAGGTAATCTGGCCATTCCTGTTCAAGTGGTAAAAAAAATAAGGGCAAGAAATGAAAATAACACTTGAGAGTCCTTAGAAAAGAAAGTGGAATCTTTACACACCTTTCCTCTTCTCCTTCCAGGAGTTTTCGGTAAGCACTGATCTCCATGTCAAGTGCTAATTTAACATCAAGTAGTTCTTGGTACTCCGTAAGCTGAAGCTGCATCTGGTCCCTCATGTCTGTCATTTCCCTCTCCTTTGCATCCAGCATCTTCCTAAACTTCTCCCGCTCTCCAGCCATCATTTCCTCCAGTTCCCGAATGCGATCTTCTGCTGCACTGGCCTAGGCACACAGCACAAGAAAAAGCCCACCTGGCATCCATGCAGGTCCACTCAAAAGTTAAAAACCTTCTCCCTCCCAAATGAACATAACAAAGATTTCTCTATGCAAAATTCAGAAAATATGAAGGGTCGGAAATGTTAATATATTCACACAAAACAGCTGTGTGTTTGAGATGAAAGCCAATTTGGCCCCTTTACCTGTTTCTGAAGACCAGAAAGCTGGTAGCTGAGAGCTTCTATCCTCATGCGAGCCTCCTTCAGCTCCTCTCGAGCTGCACCAGCAGCTTTGTCATTTTGGTCAGAGGACAATTTGGCATTCTCCAGCTGGAAAGAAAGTTTCATACAGCTCACTTGTACTGAGTTAGAAATCCTGAAATATCCTTTTGGTAAAAAAATAGCAACTACTTAATTTTAGAAAAATTTAAATGGTCTGGTAAGTTTAGGATAAGAACTGCAAAACATTAAGGAATGACCTAAGAACCAAAGGACAATGTATTTCAGGATTTGCTTATGCAGTTAAAAAATGCAGGACTTGCTTATGCTGTTAAAACAAACCTTCTATTAGCCCTTCCATTATACAAGCAACCTTAGTTTCCAAAAAACTGAGCAAGTGCTCTGCTTGTTTGTCCTAAGGCAAATCACACTGAGTGACAGCAAAGGCTGCCTACCTAATTCATGTCCTGGTCCAACAGCTCCCTGGATGCCCACAGACTAACTCAATAAAATATTCCATGGGTATTATGTCTCTGCTGGCTATATGCAACTCAGGGACTTCCTCAGTCAGGGACAGTATTTTACTGCTTACTATCTCTCAGTGGATTTCTCTGGCAGGAATTTGTCACTGCTTTTTGAATTTTTGGGGAAATGAGTTTAGCTCTATATTAAAGAACAATTACTTTGTGTCTTCTCTATCTGGACATTCTCACTGGACATCCACTGACCCTGCTCCTACTGAAAAAATAACAATCACTCCTCATTTACCTTCCCCATGCTATTTATCCCTTTACAGACTGTATCCACTGTATCTTTCACCTCTCTCAACGTATCTCTTCTCCAGGTGAAGTTTTATTTAAAATTTTCTCATGCATGCTTGTTTCCCACTCTAAATTATCTCTGTCAACTTTGTAGTACCTTTGCAACAAGCAATAAAACTACTCACAGCATTCCAGATGACATCCTGTCCCAGACACAAAACAATGGGTTTGGTTTTATTCTCTTTCCATAATAATTGCCAATATATGATTTTGTTTTAATTTTTTGTTAAATTCACCTAGTGAACAAGCTTAATTTCTAGTGGTTAATTTTTACCAAAACAGAGAGAGCAAAACCAGAACTCTTACATGGTAAGCAGAGCTAGAAAAACCATCCTTTGCATGCCTTAGAGCTGGACTTCAACAATTTTGCCACACCACGGAATCCACTCAAAACCTAAACCAATCTAATTCTAAGAACAGTTACAGGCAGAAGATGTTCTTTAGCCACACAGCACAAAGGTTTATAAAATCAATCTTCACTAGCTCTGCTGTTCACTAGGTTCTGAGCAGCACACACAGAGCCTTCTTTAGGCTACAGATTTTGAAGGAACTTCAACTACAGACTCCATTACTTCTTGTAAGGTTTAAAATGAAAAAATATTTAAAGTCTGACAACCATTCACTACCTTACAGTCTAAGGTACTATGCTGGCATAGTGTCAAGTACTAAGGATTGCTATTGCTTATTATCACGGATCATAATGATCTTTCTTAGAAGCTCTTTTTAAGTATTCAAAAGTCACAACAAGGTCTCCCTGAAGAGTTCTCTTGTCCAAGCTGAACACTCCAGCTCTCTCCATAAGAGGTGCTCCAGTCCTCAGGATCACTTTTGTGGCCTCCTCTGGACTTTCTCCAGCCACTCCACATCTGCCCTGTGCAAGAAGTGAGCTTTTACCCAAGATCATCTCATCCTGGAGCTGCTCAGTAGCTAAACCTAGTGATTTGCTTTGACATCATATTCTTCCCCAGCTTTGGCTCTCTAACAGGGACATGTCCTTGTTCAGAAATCACAAAATTAAGTTCACAGCTAAACCCTTTTCCCTCCATATTCCAACTTCATCCATAACAACCACCTTTATGCGGGGAAAAAGCAGCTTAATTTGTTCATTCCCCTGTTCAAAGCATCACTTTTTCATTCTCTAAGTTTGTATATTGCATCCTTTTTAATTTTTTTCTTCTACCAAGCATCTTCTGTCCTGGATCTCCTTCAGACTGTGAAAAATCAATCCAAATAGCTCCTTACATGTTCCAGAGTTCTGTGAATAATTTCAACCCTGCCAACTGTTGGGGGTTTTAATTTTAATTTTGGGGTTTTAATACCTATTATCTATAGGGTTGCTGCCGTAAGTAATAGTTAAATATTTGTATATTTCTCAAATATTTGAGCATTTCTCAAACCAAATCATCAACTCAAAGAATTCAAAGCGAGTCTCAATGAAGGGTGGGAGAGAACAATGTCAGCAGTACCATCATTCTTCCAGCACAAGAGAACAAGTAACTACTGACAAGTACTTTCAACAGCCAGAATTGTCAGGATGGGGCTCTGAGCAACCTGGTCTAGTTTAAAGACATTCCTGTTCAAGGCAGGGGGCTGGACTAGATGGTTTTTAAACGTCCCTTCTAGCCCAAACCTCTCTATGATTCTATGATTTTCAAATTCCATACCATGATTTTCATCACCAAAGCTGGTCAAGAAAGGTCTGATATCTTGCCTGAAGTTTCACTGTCACCAAAGGATTCACAGCTGCATCTAGTAATTTTCCAGTCCAGAACTAACTTAGATCATTGAAATGTTGCAAGGCTTAGACATCTTTAAAAGTGAATTGGCATGATTAATAACACTGCAATGGCCACAGTAAGAGCAAAGTGACAATGCACCTTTAGATAAGAAGCCCCTTCCAGTGTGTCTGTATTAGTTTGCAAGCTCACTGCATCCAAGCAGAAGCCCATACTGAGACACACCCACTTCTGAGCTCTCCAGTCCCCCCCTCCAGCTTCTTATGCACAATGTATTGCACATATTGCAAGTTTTCCCAAGCCCCTCCATTTGTGAAGAAAAACTGGATCTACTGATGAAAGAAAGGAACCCTTATAGCAAAAGACATTGTCTAATCAGCTACTGTGTGACATCCACTATTCCCACTGTGTCTTCTGCAGACACCATAAACAGCTCCACATGTTCTCACTAACTGACCTCTCTTGGCTAAAGCTACTGCTTGCTATTACCTCTGGCTATAACCTCCCTGGAAATGCACCTGCACACAAGTCCCAGGGAAAGCATTTGAACACTGGAACAAAACTTCCTCAAATTATAGTTACTCGTCTCCTTAAGACCAGTAAAGCTGGTAGAACTGGCTTTTATCTCACAAACTGGGCTTCTAGTCTGACAGTGCTGCGGACAGCAGTTGTTACCTTAGCCTGGTATGTCTGCTCCAGCTCCATCTTATACAGTTTGACTTGTTCATCATGTTGATTTCGCAGATCTTCCAGAGCCTGAGTCATTTTGGATTCATACTCCTGTTGGCGGCTTGTGTCCACCTCAATCAAACGATGTTCATGTCGTTTTCTTGTTTCCCTTATTTCCTACATACACACAAAAGAAGAGGGACAAATTCCCACACTAAAGTAAACAGTACAATCAGTTACATTCAGACAATTAACTACTGCAGTACTAACTATTTAGCATAATGGAGCTACAGTACTACAGGCATTTAAGCCTGGGAATTGCTGCGTGCAGTAACAAATTCAAGTTACTGTTCTCATTTGTCAGGATGTAATTCTTAAAAGTGATCCAACTTAACACCAGCTTCAAAAATAGCCATATACTGTCTAAGTAAGGGTCTGTTTCACTGCTTTACTACAAACCCTGTCCTTCTCAATATACATCCTGACATTACAATAGCAGTCTACAAGGAATCAGATGAAAATGAACACCATTTGTGAACATTATATATATTAAAAAAATTGTAGAGAAAATCTGCATCTTCAAATTTCACTCTTAAGCAGATGTGAGTCTCATCTACGTTCTATGTACCTGATGACGCCTTCTTCTTAGATTTTGATTACAGCATTAATAAAGCTGCAATCCAAGCAATCCTGAAGACATAATTTTTATGATCAGAGTTTGCACTAAGAAATGTGCATTTTTAGAAATGCATGAATTTTCTGTGCTTAAGAACACTGGTTGCAAACTAGTAAGGTAAGGCTTATTCATGCACTTATTCATGCAGAGACCTGGCCAGGTCTGAATGTATGGTATGAGAAAAACAATTTCTTCCTTCAGGGCAGGACAAACAACCAAGGAGTGGTTCTGAGTACTGGGAGGAGACCTGAAGTTAGCAGCAGGGCCATGAGGAACAACAGCAAGTGAAGCAAGGCTCAATTTTGCTAGACTGGAGTCATAGAAAGCTAACACATACTCAAAGCAACTTTACTAGTTGTTTAGCAGAAATGCTCTACATCTAAAATAGATCCCCAGAAACATGTCCTTTTACTAGCAGCAATGTGCTCTGAAGTGATATGAAATAAGCTTTTCTTTCTGTGGTTAACTTTTACATCAAGAAAACTAGCAAGCAGCAGTCTCTCAGTAACTGTAGGCAATGACAGCTCAGAAGCTAAAGGAATGTCATGGGGGACTAGAAAGGATCAGGTGAAGGGCTGAGCTGATCCAGCAGTTCAACACCACTAGAATAAGCAGGCCTCACTTCCACACTCCCAGTCACGATGACTCAATTCTAATGGAGATTTGGACCCTTCAGTAAACCAAATCAATTCACTAAGGGAAAGGAAATCAATTTATTGCTTCACATGTTGAACTGGTGCATCCAAGAATCAAAGAGCATCAGGGGTGCTAAAGAACACACCCTTGAGCACAGCAAGCTTTAGGATCAGCTTCTGCTGTCTCATTTAGTTTCACCTTCAGTCAACAGCAACACATTCTTCCCAAGAAGAAAAGTCATCTTAAGGTCCTACAACCAAACAAGGATCTGTCACTGCAGTCAGTGTACCAATCCAAGCACTCCAGGGCATGGAAGTGAGACAATGGTCTCAGGCTAATCTCCCTAGTTGTTTTTTTGCCCTGCTCCAGCCCCTGTCCTTAGCCACACAGCCCTGTCCCATCCCTTAAACCAGTCTGAGCACTCATTTGGATTCTGCGGTAAATCAACTCAGCCACTAAGCAGTCAAAAATCAAACTCAACCAAGAAAACTCTAGTATGTTTCTAGTTAATCTGGTTGAAATGGTTAGGTGAACAGCGAGCCAAGCATCACACCTAGAGTAGGTGAGATGAACAGCGGAAGCACGTGGCAACTGCTCAGCAGCCACTCCTTGAATGAGCTTGCAGAACCACCAGAGACGGAATAACCGACGTAACACTTTGCATTGGGTACAGAGAGAAATTCATGCTTTCCTCTCCCAATTCCCACTATTACAAAAATTTTGGTCTTCACTAGAACTATTAACTTAACAGGTAGAAAACTACCTCTGCAATAAGCAAGGCAGTTACATGCTATTCTAGTCAATAAAAACAGGCTATAATCAGGTCCAGCAACCAAAGCTGATGTAAGTAAAGAGCAAGGGCATGCAACCAGGTCCAGTGAGAGGGAAAAAGATTTTCCCTTTCCCAGAGCAGTCAGCTGGCTCCAGTTCACCTGCCCATGGAACAATACTCTTGTCACCTGGCTCTCATGCTGACTTCACCACTGATTTACCATGCAAAAAGGCGTAAAACCTTCACCCATTTTATTACTCAACCCATGTATAGGAAGGATAATACTGATTTTCTCTACCTGGACTACTTAGTAGTTGCTCATAGTCAATTTGATTAAAAGCTACATTAACTTTGGACAGTGGCAAGATTACTAGATTGATAATACCTCCTCAAATACATTCTTCCTGAAATCCAGATCCTCTTGCAAACTCTGGCACCGATTTTCCAGGTCCACACGCATGAGTGTCTCCTTCTCCAACTGCTTCTTTGCCACAGCATGACCATCTTCAGCCTAGTAAAGAATTTTAAAGATAATTTTGTCTGGATTCCTATCTTCCATCCATAAACCTTTTACAGTCTTCATCCGATGTCTTTGGAGCAGTTACTCACAATAACAAAACTAATTTCAAGCCACTGATTTAAAGAAAACCAATCCACACCACCACCAGAAAGAAACACAATAAATAAACAAAAGCCACAGAAAAGCAGAAAGAACAAGTGTGTGTGTGTGTTAATTGATATTTAAACCAAGCCTATATGTTTGCATACCAGCTATTTAAAATGTAGTATTAGCTCAATACATTCTGATACAGGAGCCAAGGATTATTAACTCCTCAAGCACAATATGTTGCACTTTCTTTTTCTTGCTAGCATGGTCCCACTGGGTACTCCAGCACAAGTGTAAAATTATGCAGGACCTTACAAAGGACAACATTTAATGACTCAAGATATAGAAACATCAGAAATTTTAAAACAAAATCTTCTGACAACCAAAATGTCTAAAACACTGTGTTGCTTTGGTTGTTTTACATAGATTTCTTACAATTTAGTTTTGTATCCAAGAGAGGCAGCCAAATATTCAGCAGTAAGCAAGATGCATCATTGATGTTCAGACTATAAACTAACTGCAAATAAAGAAGAGAATTTATGCTACGCAACCTGTCCCGTGCTGAAGCAAGAGAGCATTCCCTACCATACCTTAGCAAGCTGGGCACGCAGATCAGCCACCTCTGCTTCCAGACTGCGTTTCTCATTCAGGACAGTATTGAGTTCTGCCTCACTTCTATGGAAGAGAACTTCCAGATCCTTGATACGACCCTGAGCCACAGACAAATCTGCATCTTTCTTCTTGTAGCTGGAAAAACAAAAGTACATTATACTTACACATGGGTGCACACCCATCCTGAGCATGTCCTGGTTACAGCCACAGGTGTGTTGCTATCAGACACCTTTTATCAAGCCCAGCTCACCACTATATGGCTCCTGCAGTAGCCTGCAAATGCTGCTGACCACTGACCTGGAACACCCCCAAAATGTGAAGCTGGTACCATGTTCTGTAAATGCATTGCACAGTAAAAAACTATCATGGACAGACAAGGGAAAAACAAGAAGGCAATTCTGGCAGCTAAGAGATGGTATTGCATACAAGGTGTAAACAGTACTTTTTCATCTGGCAGCTACACAGCTGATATCTTTTACTTTAGAGTACAGCCCACAAAGCAAAGTACATGCAATGGCCAAAGAGGCCTGAACATCCCCAAGGTTTTACATCTGATATGGTCAAGAGTATTCCTTATGATGTATTCCCACAAAAAGTAGTAAAGTAAAATAATCCACCAAGGAAATGTGTCACCTTCCAGGAATAAACCAGTATTTCTTCAACAGTATTCATTATGGGCAAAGCATGTCCGAGTGCTTTAAATATCATTATTTGAGTTATTATACCCAACTTGCAGATATGACCAAGATAATCTTCCTTCTGCCCACCAAGTAATTTATCAGTCTTTTCATCTAACATAGTGACTTTCTGCAGCTTTTCTCAGCATGTATCATGATGTTATTAAAAAAAGGATCTGCTATGTGCTATAATCCTTCCTTGTTGCTGCTTAAGCTCACTGTTCTAGTCTCACACCACATGGGACAGAGGGAACCTGTTGGTTTTTAATTTTTTTCTCTTAAGTCATCGCAGACACTTTTTCTCCTTTCCTTTCTTCACACTTCTAATCTGTAGATAAGTAGTTTGCACCTATTGTCCATAAGCTGCTTTAAGGGCCCACAGAAATAACTTCGAAGAGAATTCCTACTACATATAGGCTTTTAAAAGCTCTGTATTCAATCTGCAACTCCAAACATGGAAAAAATTATTATGTTTGCAAAGAGGAAAAAAAACCCCTGAAAACCAGTGTTCTAGATTAATACAAACCTTGATGCCCAGCCTGGGTCCTGAAGCTTGGTTCCCAAAATCCTCATCATTTGTACTGTCTTCTTGAATTTCTGATTTGCTTGAATTGGCCAGAATTACTTTATGAAAATCCTCCATTATCGGGTATTGGTGTGCCTTACACACAATACACCACTGTTTGCCTTTGGCTCATACAGTGGTTTACCAATGGTTTACATGGTTCAGCATGATGTGCATCTTTTTTCTAAGCTGACATCTTTATTTTGTGATGTGTTCAGCTTGTGTTTTCTCTCTGTATTTCACGGTGTAGATCTTAGAATTTGTTTTCATTTAACTATAACCAATTTTTCTTATCATCAGTCCAATCTGTCACTGTGAATTCTGTTCTGCAACATATGTGCAATGTCTTCACACTCATCAGCTTGCAGGAGGCACAGACAAAACATGGCTTCTATTTAAAAGACAGTTATTTAGCAGTAGTCAGAAGGTCACAAGTGCTATGTTACACATGTGTTGTAAAACAAGCCACTGTGCCTGTGTCACACCAATCAGACCTGGGAGCCTTCTGCCTGTGCAGGACTCAAAGGGCAAAAGCTGCTTCACTCTGATTGTGAACAGCAGTACGTGCTCACACAGCCTCCTGCTTCCTCCCACCTGAAGAAGCCAGGCAGCAAGAGAGTGCTTCCAGGGATGGGAACGAATAGAAGTGTTTGATGTACAGCTTGAACCACAGAGAATTCCTGACAGTGGTAAGTAACTTTGGTCCCCTCAAGGACAATGACAACATAGCAAGCTATTTTAATTTTTATTTTCACTTATAATTTCAGCCCGGTTTATTGCCTTCATGCAAAAACATGGCAGAGGTTTTACAAAGATACAACTGCTTTGGGGGGGGTCTCTGAGATTTTAAAAAGTTCCTACAAGCAGTCAGTCCACCTAGATGTGTCAATGCTTCAAGGAACACCAGGTAACTCTCCAAGTAGGTAACTCTTGAGAGCTCTTTTTTCCCAGAAAGAGCCAAGTTTGTTCCAGGGAAATGTTTCAGTGACCACAGAATCACAGCATTGTTTGGGTTGGAAGGGACCTTAAAGCCCATCTCATTCCAACTGTGTCATGCTCCAAGCCCTGTCTTTCAGTCTGAAGCCATGCTCTGTTGTTCTGTCCCTACTTATAGGAAGGTAGCAGGCAGAGGAAACCACAGCATGACATTCACGCCTCTTAGAGCCAGGAGCATCCAGCTTCAGCAGGACTGCTAAAACAAGCAGAATGATGGCACCTGACAGATACTGACTTTCAGACCTGGTTTGACCTGGGGAAAAATGATGCTGATAAAGATATGAACTGCACTTCATGAACAACAGGACAGGAGATTTTCCTTAACCACACCATTAGAGTTACCTCTGCCAATGAATGGACCTTATTCACTTCACCAGGTCTGGTTCAACAGTCACAGGGAGGGTGGTGTTCTACCCAAGCAGAAGTCTTGTGCACCTCACCATAAATTAGTTATTCCCATCCATACCTCCTCCACTAATCCCCTCCCTCCAGTAGTCAAAAGTTTTGTCAAACAGTTGAAGATGAAACACAAACGCTGGAAGCCATTACACAGCATATAGGATAGAACCATACATGTTACAGAATGATATGAGAATGGCTATTTTTACAACAATATTTTAATTCTTGATTTAAAAGTATGTCCCTACTCCTGATACAAACATCTTTAAACTAAAAGTTAAGCTGTTCCTTACATCATATAAATGGTGTTTGAACATCCTAAAGATAATTAACTTTTTATAAAGTGAAACTACCCAACTGCTTTATGAACCTAGTTATGAACTTGGTTCAAAAGAAAAAAATTTACATTCATGAGTTGCATTCAAGTAAAAATATATATGTATGGTAGATGTTGTAAAATACACAGAATCACAGAATGGATAGAAGGGATTCTAAATCTCATCTTGTTTCACCCCTCCCATGGGTAGGGACACCCTTCATTAGACTGGGTTGGCTCCAAGCCCCTTCCAGCCTGGCCTTGAACACTTCCACACAGATGGGGCAGCCACAGCTGGTTGGATACTATGTTCTACCCTCAGAGGGTGCTGGGGCATTGAACAGGCTCCCCAGGGAATGATCACAGCCCCAAGGCTTCCGGAGCTCAAGGAGAATTTGGACAGGACTCTCAGACACAGAGTGGGATTTTGGGGTGTCTGTGCATGGCCAGGAGTTGATTTGGTGTTTTTTGTGGGTCCATTCCAGCTCAGGATATTCCATGATTCTATGACTGAGTGCCTCACCACCCTAACATGGAAGACTTCCTTTCTAATATCCTAATCTAATGCTGCCCTATGTCAATATGAAGCCATTCACCCTTGTCCTACCACTACTGCCTTGTCCTAATCCCTCTCCCTCTCTTGGAGCCCCTTTAGGCATTGGAAGGGTCTCTGAGATTTCCCTGGAGCCTTCTCTTCTCCAGGTGGACATCCCCAGCTCTCCCAGACTGCCTCCGGTGCAGAGGGGCTTCAGTCCTCAAAACACCAGAACATGTGGTGTCCTCTGGACTCACTCCAGTAGCTTCACATTATTCTGATCACGGGTCCCCAGAACAGAACGCAGTACTCTGGGTGGGCTTGAAGGAGCACATCACCTCCCTTGACCTGCTGGCCATGCTTCTTTGGATGCAGTTCAGGGTTTGATCAGCTTTCAGGGCTGCAAGTGGACGTTGTTAGCTTAAATTCAGTTTTTCATCCATTGATACTTGTATCTCCTCAGGGCAACTCTTGATCCATTCTCCACCCAGCCTGTGTCTGTGATGGGAATGACCCAGCACATATGCAGAACCTTATACTTGGCCTTGATGAACCTCATATGGGGTTCACACGAGCCCACTTCTCTAGCATGTTCTCATCTCTTTAGATGGTATCCCTTCCCTTCAGTGCATCAACTGCACCACACATGTTTTGGATGGCTCCTCTTTCTTGTTAGAAGGAAGTGCTTCCCGCCCCTTGCACCCCTCATGCCCTAGTTTCACATTCAGTTTCATGGTACTCTGGAAGTCTTACAGAGATGATGAGCTGGTGGCTCCTGAGATAACAGGAGCCAACAGGGAAACACATGTGAAATACTGCCAAGAAATTAAGGGGCATTCATTTAAGAAGACAATACAGACAACAGTCCAGTTGTTTCTCTATACAAATGCATGCAGGATGGGCAGTAAATAAGAGGAGCTGGAAGCCACTGTAGTGCTGGAAAGCTGCAAGCTAGCTGCTGGTGAAACTTGGTGGAATCTCATGACTGGACTTCAACTATCAACAGCCACAGGCTGTCAAGAATGGACAGGTGAGGAAGGAGGGGTGGAGGGGTTATCCTCCCCAAGAAGTGAATTGAATGTGAAAGGCTATCTCTAAAGAACAGCCATAAGCATTTTGAAAGCCTATGGGTAAGAATCAGAGACTGAGGCAACAATGGGAACCCTTGTGGTTGGTATCTACTCCTGGCTGACTGGTCAGTTGGAGCCTTTTTGCTCCAGCTACAGGAGTTATTGCACTCGTAGACTCATCCTGCTGTGGGACTTCAACCATCCCAGCAACTGCTGAAAAGTAGCAGGGTGAGCTGTAGGCAATCAAGGAGGCTGTTGGAGAGCACTGAGGATAGCTTGTCAAGCCAGGTGATAAACAGTTCTACCAGATGAGATGAGATGAGATACTGGACCTGATGGTCACCAACACAAATGAGCCAATCAGTGATGTCAAGACAGGAGGCAGCCTGGGTTGCAGTGATCATGCAGTCCAGGAGTCTGCAGTCCTGAGAGACACGGGTCAACTGAGAAGTAATGAAGAATGAATTTTAGGAAAGCAAACTGCCTACTGTTCAAGAAGTTGGTCAATAGCACCCTGTCACTATGATATTTTATGAAAAATCCTTTGTTAGGATTTTTCCCTCCTAAGGAGCTGAGG